TACACCTAAAACTAAAGTTATATGTCAATTATAATTCAATTTAGAAAAAAAGGACAGGGATTTTCAAATTAGTAAAAAAGTAAGACCTAGCTATATGTTACTTATCAAAAACACATAAAGAAGTTAGGTAAAAGGTCAAATGAAGACATAACATGCTAACACTAACCAAAAAGAGACATTACTATCTCACAAAGTAGATTTCAAAGCAAAAAAGTACCACCAAGAATAAGAAACATTTCATGACCTTTGATGAAGTGTCAATTCATCAGGAAGATACAACAATCCTCAACATTTCATGTACCTGAATACAGACCTGCAAAATACATGAAACAGAAAAACTGACAGAACTACAAGGATAGACAAATCCACAGTTATAGCCATAACTCTCTCACTAATTGATTAGAAAATTGTCAAGAAACATAAAACACTTATCACTATGAACCAACTTGTCTTACTGACATTTATGGAGCTTTATGACATAATGAAATACTCTACCCAGCAACAAACAGCATAATATACTGCTGGATACATAATAAATTTTTCTCAAGTACACATGAACACTTCCTAGACAGATCACTTTCTGAGTCATGAAACAAATGTAAATACATTTTAAAGGACTCAAAAAGGGGATGTTCTCTGACCTTTTTATTAGAAATAAAATCAGTAACAATACCTGGAAAACCTCCCCAATAGCTGCAAATTAAATGACATAGTTTTAAAGTAAAACATGGGTCAAAAATGAAATTAGGGAATAATTTTAATTGACTGAAAATGAAAATATAACATTAAAATTGATGGGATGTAAATACAGTAGTGTTTAGAGAAAAATTTGTAGACTAAACTAAGTGTTCAAATCAATGATTTCAGCTACCACATTAAGAAACTAGAAAAAGAATGAAGTACAAAGTAAAAGAAGAAAACAATGAAATAGAAAACAAACAAACAAAAAGAAAAAAAATCAATAAAATCAGAAGCTAGTTCCTTGGAAATCAACATTCTTGACTCAAAGGTGTTGTGATAGTATTCAGCAATCAAAAAAAATAAACTAATGCCATTCACAGCAACATGGATGAAGTTTGAAGGGATTATGCTCAGTGAAATAAGTCAGAAGGAAAAAGAAAAATACTGGATGGTTTCACTTATAGGAGGAATATAGGGGCACAAGAAAAAATAACAACCACCAAAAAAACCCACAACAAAACAAAAATAAACCATCAACTATAAATTAGAGATATTCTGCAGGGGAGGAGAAAAAGGGATCAAAATGAGGGTGGGAAGAGCACAAGGGACTATGGTGATAGTGCCCAGTTGAGTTGGTAGTAGAAATTCTAGGAGTACTACACCTGAGAAAAGAAAGCAAACATTGTAAGAAAAAAATAGATTTTAAAAAAGTGTTGTGACAGTGACTGATGTTTAAACTATTTTATCTCACTCTAAATTTGAAGAAATTATGAAGCTAAAGGAAGTTTATAAATATTTGAGGTTACAGTTCTCCACAAGTTTTTCTATGAAGAAAGATACAAGATTATCCATCTTTGGACAAACCAAACCACTCTTTCAGGCAACAGTTTTCTCAGAAGTAAAACAAAAGGACTAAATTAGATCATCTTCAAAAAACTGTCTAAGCTCTAAGGCTCTTTATATGTCAAGTAAGAGGTACATTTCTATCACTAATAGCCCTAAATGACCTGAATAAGAAGTTCTGACATAATCCTGGGAACTCAAATTAACACTTTCCTCAAAAGTAATTGACCAAAAAGGAAAAGTTAGTCCATCCCTAATGAAATTCAAATGTTTAACTATCAGCCTTGGGAGAAACTGAAGGTGAATTTCAGTTTAATTTAAAATCAAGGACTATTATTACTAATAATTTTAACTTTATTTTTCTGTTTATCACCTCTGTGAGAGGAACATCTTAGCTGATCATTTTTTTTGTTTGTTTTTTAAATACATATTTGATATTGTGCATATATATGTATTTTTTTTAAGATTTATTTTATTTATTTATACAAGCACTGGGTACAGCCAGAAGCGCAGAAGGGTGAGAGAATTCATCAGAGCCAGAGCGGGGAGCAGAACAGACAGATCAACTGATGAAGAAACACACTGCTGAGGGGAGCAGTGGGCGGCAGGAGAGGTCCGTTGCGCCACGTGGGACCCTCGCCAGTGGCCCGGATCCAACGGGCGCTGCAGAGGCTGCGGGCAGGTTCGCAGCCCAGTGCTCAACTGTAGCACCACCAGGGGAGGCCCTCAGATGGTCATTTGGATGCATCACTTCTTACTCAGTTTTGTTCTCAATATTACTATTCCCAGTAAAAGGAGTTTGTGTGTGTGTGTGTGTGTGTGTGTGTGTGAGAGAGAGAGAGAGAGAGAGAGAGAGAGAGAGAGGAAGAGAGAGATGAAGAGAGAGAGAGAAACACTATGGGATTACAAAATTAGGAAGTTATACAGGTCTCAAGCAATTTTTTTTTCAAATGTTCACTGTGAGCAAGGCATTCTTATTTAGGAATCTTCTGCTGCTACCTTTTAGGAGAAAATTACTTTCCTATAATTAGGTCATAGACAAAGAGTGAAAACTACCTTGAGTTTAGATTTGGAAAACCAGGTAGGTTAGTCTTGCATCGTAGTTAATTTTAACTACTCTGAAGCCAACCTCTCAAGTTCCAATTCTCATTATGACATTTACTGGATATAAGACCCCTGGTCCAATCATTTAACTTTATAGAGATTATTTTGAGGATCAAATAAACACATGTAAAGATGTAATTATTATCCTCCTGCCCCATTTTGTTTGATAAAGAATACCAGAAACTAAGAAATTCTATATATGTTATAAAGACAACACTTTGTCACACTTTAAGTGTCCATAGTTATATATCAATATATTTCAAACATGAAAACATAAATATATGTAAGTAATTTAAAGGATAGTTTTAGTAAGAGTTAGTAAGAGCTGATGTTCAACTACATAGCACAGTGAAAATGCAGACGTTTCAAAGATCTTCCTAAACTCAGATAATTTAGAAGTATTAAATATAGACTCTAAGATCTTTTACCATTGACTACTTTAAGATTCTACAATGGCTCTTAATTGTTGCATAGCTTTAACTTAATGAAATCCTGGTTCTCTAATTGAAGTGATCTTCTAAAAGGGCAACCACTTACTCCTCCCACCCTTCCCCATTGTGGACTAAACAATTACAATTTCACTGACCTTCACAGCTCACTAAAAGTTATCTGCAGAGTGTAAAGGTGTGAGTCATATTTCAATAGACATTCAACAACTGTGTGACTTAACCAAAGGAAATATTGCTCAGCCTCATTTCCTATATTCACAGAGAAGCCTACATTCAGAGATACTGAGAATTAAAGGAGAGAATGAATGAAATATCCCCTCATCCTGAATAGCACACCGCACATCTCAATTCATGCTCACTTCCCTTCATGTTTGACATCACTTTTTGATATTTTTCATGAAAACTATCTATAGGTTAAGCTGTATAATTTCACCGTATATGCACATTTTTAGCATTCCTTCAGAAATTTTACTTCAAAACCATTATTAGATCAGAATTAACTAAGGATTGCTATAACTTTTGAAATAAAGGATCACTTTACATTAAATATGATAAAGTATCATCATAAGCTAATGAGATTCCTATGATCATTATCACTTTCTGGAGGTAGCAGCAAGAAATGCCTAAATTTAATCAATTTTGATTCAAACATCATTTTGGCAAACATTTTGATCTCTAAAAGGATGAGACAGATTATTATTTAGAAATGTGTCTACTAGTAAGGATTATTTTCCTCAAAATTGAGTATTCTGTAAGTACAAAATAATGTCCTTAAAGGTTGACAATAGTCATTAAAAATCCTACCCTCCTCAAACCTTCTGGGCCAAAAAGCATTATCTTCCATTGAAGAACGTGGTTTTAACTATGTACTTATTTGAGAGCTGTAACTAATCGAGATTCTTCCACTTTCAAGTGAAGTGAGTGGTATAGCTTTATTTTTTTTTTTTTTACAGATAGTGTCTATCTTGATAGTTCTCTTTTTTCTTAAAGAATAAAAAGCGGTCCTTAGATAACTGTGGACTGAGTCTCGAGACTAAAATTGCTGCATACTCAACGTCTATGAACAATTAAGTCAGAACAATCAATACCGAAAACATAGTATAAGTCCCGAAACGTTTTAACTGATAACCACTTTCCTTCCATATTAAAGACAATCTACCCAAACCAGTATCTTAAATCCTGAAGAGTACTGCAATGTTACTCCCTACCTTCAAGGAATCAGGTGAGAAACCGGGTTCTAAGAAGTAAGGAGGAAAACGGAAGTAATGAAATCTAAAACGAGATCGCAAAATCTGAGGATGAAATATAAATCTCCATAATAAATTGTCAAGGAAAAAAATGGATATACACAGTTTCACTAGTTCCGTCTTAACTCGTTTTGTATGAATTAATTGCGTTCAGAAGTGAAATAAATGAACTTCAAAACGGGCCAAGTCCCACCAAAAATCAGAAGCTGGCGCTCATTTGTTTTTGGCTCAGCTGCCTTCAGGATACACGGAAAAATCCACCTGCCTCCCCCATCCCTGCAGCCGGCTCTGCGGGCAGCACGTTTTTCTTCTCTTGCTGTTTAGACAAAAAACAATCGAGGAGGAGGAGCAGATTTCTTTCTTCTAAAACACTGGCACAAGCAAAAAGAGGAGACACACACACAGACAACTTCCACGGGGCTCGGCCGTCCCTGTTTCAAGACCCTCCCTCGCAAGCACTCCTTTTCAAAAGAACCAGGCACCTGCCAGGGGAGCGCGCCCCGGGCCGCTATTCCTGCCTCTCTCCAACCAGACACTGGCCGCGAAGCCGCGAGCGGGCGAGGACCCGGAACCCTGGAGGCCTCGCCGCGGTGACCAAGCCTCGGGCGCCGCGGCCCGGGCGCCTCAGCGGGGCAGGCCGGTGGGGGCCCGCGCACTCCCGCCGCCCGGTACTCACACACGCACAGCTCCACCACGTACGCGTAGTAGGACCAGGCGACCACGAAGGTGATGAAGAGCACCGGCACCCAGCCCACGCTGCGCTGGCAGCAGCGCCAGAACGTCCACGGCGCCATGTTCGGCCGGCGACTGCAGCACCCGGCGCCCGGCGGTCGAAGGGAGCGCCAGGCCCCCGGTGGCGGGAACCCGGGCGGTCGGGTCGGCTCCTCTCGCCGGTACCCAGCTTCGAAGGCCCCGCCGGCCCGAGCCGAAGTCTGAGGCCCCTCTGTGTCCCCGCCCCTCACCTCGCCCCGCCAGGTCCCGCCCCCGCCCCTCATCCTGCGGTCCCCCACCCTCCACCGCCCCGCCCCCCCGCCCGCATTCGGCGTCGCGCCATAGGGGGCGGGGCTTCGTAGCCGGAGGGGGCGGCCCATGGAGGGGCGTGGCCTGTGTCGGGGGCCGCCCCCGGAGAATGGCGGTGCCTGCTGCTTAGGAACTGCAGGGCCGGGGCGCTAGCGGAAGGGAAGCAGGAAGTGAGGCTGGGGCGGGCCCCGAGGCGGAAGACATCGCCTCGGCACTTGAGAGGAACAGGGGACGGTTTCTGTGGACCGAGGACTGAGAGAGGAGACTCATGAAAATGTTTCCTTAGCTGAGTCGCGTACCGTGGAACTCGGGCAGAACTTGCCCTTCTGTGGACTATCGGACCCGGAGTAGTGAGGGTTCACATAGGGCTGGCCCAGGATGCAGGCGAGGGTATATTGTTAGGAGGCTGCCCCAGTATCCCGATGTGCTTCTCTGCTTAAGAACTCTTGTCATTTCAAATAATTTGCTACATGTTGGGGCAAACCACTCCAGATTTCGAAAATGGAACTCGTTAATGAACGATTTAGGATGAAAATCACAGTCTGTCACTTTGATTTAAACCCCAAATATGAGATTGATTTGTTTGAAAAGGAGCATCTGCCTTCTCACTACCCTTCAAATGATCACTGAAATTTTGAAAAATTATTTACAACTGGAGAAATCTTCCTACGCAGTGTCAGTAATTATAATAGAACCTAGAAGCATCACTGTGAAAACATCATAATATAAGGTCAGAAGCATTACCAGTAATTCCAAACCGCATTTCCCCTTACTATCATGCCCGTTTTGGTAGAATGAGATTTTAATTAGCTACTGACCACTAAGGTCTCCATGAAGGTCTCCTACCCCTTTTATAGTTGTGATTTAAAGGTACTGGAAGCAAATAATATGTAACTGCCGCACATTTCTAGTGCTAGAAAGTAATAAAGTATGTGTGAAATAGTTTTTCCGGTCTTTATTAGTGTTGGCTGAAAACAATCACTGCTGTGAAGCAATTCATAAAGAAATAAGAAGACTATTGAGAGCAGAGGATTTAAACCAGAAAGGATGCATCAGATTTCTCTCGAGCTCTGGCCCTGCCCTTCAGATATGCAGGTGTACTGAAGTGCACAGAGGGAGACACAAAATTCTTCAATAGCAAAGGGGAAAAAAAACATTTGGTTACATTCTGGTTAATGAAAAAGGAGAAATGTTGCATATATATCAAAAAAGATCTCTTATTCTGTAGAGTGAGGCATTGTTTGTAGAAATAGCACAAGACTTGAGGTTTATAATGATTTATTTCTATCCTAGAAAATGATTCTGCAGAATTGAAGGTCAAGTTGTACAACTTATCTCTGCTTCCTCCAGCAACTTGCAGCATGAGCGGGGAGGGGAAGGGTGGCCTTGGTGTGTGATTTGGCTGCATGACATTTTCTCAACAAAACTGTTTTGTGTTTCTTTTTGCTGACTTCCAGCCTCTGCAGCTGCCAGCTCAGCGGTTTTTCAGAATACATTTCTAACAAGCAGTAGTACCACAGGTTGACAGCACGCAAAAACTGATAATGGGTTTAAGGCACTAAAGTAGATGACATTTAGTTTATTTTCCAAAGAGGCTGCCCTGGGCATGGGTTAAGCTTAACCCTTTATATTATGTTTGACATGAAAGACCAAAATATAAAGCCTTTTCCTTCTCGCCATCGCTACTTATCAAAATCACCCTCCTATTAGCTCATGTCCACCAAGTCTATTGATCACATGAGCTGGAAATTATTTCTGTTAAGTCATTTTGCTTATAACACATTAGTTGTCAAGGACTGCCATAGCCAAGTACCACAAACTAGATGGCTTAACACAGCAGATATTTATTGTCTCATGGTTTGGGAGGCTGGAAGCCCGAAATGAAGGTGATAGTGGATCACACTGCTTTTGAAACCTGTAAGGAAGAATCCACACCTCTTCCTAAGGTCTGGTCATAGGCATCAGTCATTGGCATTTCTTGGCTTGGGCTGTATTACTTCAATCTCTGCCTCTTGTCACATGATTTTTCCCTTCCTGTGTCTGTGTTTATTCTTCTCATACTGGATTTAGAATCCAACTTACCTCAGAATAATTATTATATCTGCAACCACTCTATTTCCAAAAAACATAACATTCTGAATACTGAGGGTCAGGATTTCAATGTATCTTTGGAGGAACACAATTCATTCCACAACTACACAAATAAATATTTTTGATAATGTTATTTGGCATACTACATTAGGAGATCCTTTCTTACACACCCTCTTTTTCCATAGTGGTTTGCAAGTAGGAAATGTTTGTTAAATATTTGTTAAGACTTCTGTTGTGATGTAGCTATTTTTCCTAACTTTTGGAGTTACCAACAAGATGAAATTTTGATTTCTATTTTTTTTTCTCAGATTCTAAGAAGGTGTTGATTTAATATGGCTTCTAGAAAACAGTTCCTGATTATTGTTTTAACATTAATCCAGTGAGGACATACATTTTCAGGAAGGCAATAACATTTCATTCTCTTGAGAATGTTTCTATCTTAAATGACCAGACATGAATTACTGTTCCTTTGCCTGAAAATAGAAGCCAACATGCTAAACTCCTTTTCTTTTCCTCATTGGTGATTTCACTCTATTTCTGCTACTGATTGTGACAACAGAGATCACTTAATGGCATTAGACACATAATATTGTGAGTTGAATTCTATTTTATAGCAGTTGCTTTTACTGTGGTGGAAAGAATGAATTGGAGGGAAGAATGGCAAGAGACAGAGGAACCAGCTGGGAGCTAGGCAAGAAGTGGTGGTGGCCAGAACTAGAGTGTGCCAGTTGAGAAAGTGATAACGGATCTATTTAGGACTTCTGATCAACTTTGATGCTGCTTCAAAATTACCAATAGTAGATAAAACTAAATACAGAAAACCAAAGCGACAAATCTAGGCTCAAACCTCTATCACCAACTTCTATTCTCCCTAGCTCCAACAGTGGGAGCAGGAAAAATTGTACTAATCAATCCCTGAGTTCATGGGTTCTAACAGAAACCAAAGAACACACTGTAGCTCCCTGACCTGGAAGTGAACCAAACTCCCAGCAGACCTGGTGACTTGACCTGTGGTTTCTCCATTGTTATTCAACCAGAAACCTCAAAATGCCATTTTAAGTTCTAGTTATGAACTGAGGGCTGGGAAAAAGAAAATTAGCTAGAGGCAGCTGTGAAACCATTAGGTGGGGCTTAATGGAAACCACATAGATATAGAGACCGAAAGAATGAGGGGGGAAATAAATTCAGATTAAACTACAATTCTAAAACGCAAAAAAATCTAAGAAAGAACATAAACAAAAATAATCATAATGTGAATTCATTCAAAATGAAATTAAATTTATGAAGCAAACTTTTAAGAATAGTACATTGCCATTCCCAAAGAGGTAAATGAAAGAATAATTTTTACCACAGGAACAAGAAAACGTGAAACAAGCAAATAATAAACAAAACCAGAAAAAGAACAGGTTTGAAAAATAACCATTTAGAGATCTTCAAAATATCAAAACATTGTCAAACACTCAATAGACAAAATTCTAATCTGGACATTTGAGAAGACAAGCTTACCAAGTTGGGAGAGTATGCTGAGTAATTCACCTAGAACACAACAGAAAGATGTATTTTAAGTTGGAAGATGTTTTGGCAAGTTTCAACATACATCTATAGAGTTATAGACAAGGAGAATGAGAAGAATGTCAAAGAGACAAGTTTTGAATCAATAATACACGAGAATATTACAGCATTAAAGCATGTCTTAAGTCCTCTGTCAAAAGGACACTTGGGTAGTGAATAGGATAAATAATAATAACCTGTAATGAGACACAAGTGGTAAAACTTTTGAACATTTAGGCTAAAGAGAAAAATCTTACAGAATTTCAGAAATGAATATCAATTTATGAAAGAAATATTGATTAGGCTGACAGCTGACTTCTCATCAGTAGCAACAAGTTCCCAGAGACAATGAAGTAATATTTTCAAAGTGCTGAGGGAAGTATCATTAAATTTTATAACTAGAGAAATAATCACTTCAGAGTGAAGGCAAAGTGAAAAGGCAGCCAAAGGAATGGGAGAAATTTAGTTGCAAATCATGACTGGTAAGAATTAATATCTAGAATGTATATAGACCCCCTACAACTCAACAACAACAACATTTGCACACACACACACACACATGTTTACATCTCAAACGACTCAGCTAAAAAATGGGCAAGGGACTTATAAATACATTTCTACAAAGAAGACATACACATGACCACTACGCACACAGTTAGATGCTCAACATACTAATGAGAGAAATGCAAATCAAAACACATACTGCTTCACACCCACTAGGATGGCTACAATAAAATAACAACAAATGCCCCAAAATAGATGACTGGATCAAGAAGATGTGGTATATATATACCATGGAATATTACTCAGCATTCAAAAAAGATAAACACATGCAATTTGCAGCAACATGGATGGAGCTGCAAGGGATCATGCTCAGCGAAATAAGCCAGACAGAAAAAGAAAAATACCGGATGGTCTCATTCATAGCAGGAATCTAGAAAACTTAAATAAGGGACCAGGAAAATGAATAACTATAAGAAAGTGAAAATCAAAATCAACAAAAAACTATGAACCAGAGACACTTTTTGGGGGGTGGGGGGCGGGAGGGGAGGGATTGGGGTCAGAATGGGGGGTGTTGCAATTGTATGGGGAATATAAAAATAAAATTTATTATTTAAAAAAAAACATTTCATTAACAATTTAAAAAAATAACAACAAAAGCAGAACATAACAAATGTCTAGG